CCAGAACATTGGAGTTAAAGTATCTTTGAAGCTTAGATTGAACAAAGTGACCATTACTATTTTATGAATATGCAACAACAGCCAAACAAGTCTAACAGGTTTGGTGTTCCCGCTAATCTTGCTTGTGTGTGTGTGTGTGTGTCTGACTGGACTTGGACTTGATAAACTGATGTGGTCAGCACTACCGGGGAACTTCTCTTTATAGACATAATTGGTGGATATGGTTGCTTGGCCTGCAACATTGCTAAGCCCAATATTTTCCTTGAACCTGCACAATTTATTCAGATCTCAAGAAAGGCACGCATTGGAGAAATAGAGTATTTCTAGCTCTTTCTTTTCACAAACAGGTTTGGAAGTATTTTTTTTTTCATGCTGATAAGTTAACAAAAAAGTTCTGAGCCAAAGTATTTTAATGTGATTCATAAAGACATTAACCTACACTAATGTTTATAGATATGAATATTAATCTGTAATTTTTTATTTACATGTGTAATTCATATATTCTCCTGTGGCACAGAAAGTTTACTTCCTCCTTTTTTAAAATGCTAGCTCATTCTCATCTCTGATACCAGCTAATAAAATACAAACACGCTCAGACAAATTTAGTTGATTGATTCTTTAATAGCAACTTGAAGTCTGAACTGAGGAAAGAATTGAAATGTTTACAAGGCAAATGTATACAAATTAACACCATTTTCTTTCCTGGGAAGAAATGGTAACTTAGTAGGACAAGACATATAATGTGTGGCTGTAAGGGCACAAAACTAATTAACAAAACAATTAAATTAAATTGCATCAAACTAGAAACTGTTTATCCAAAGTAGTTACTTCACCGGACAAAATGCTTATTCTAACAAGGCTGACATAAGGCAATGCATTCTGAGATCTCTTCTCTTGGAGCTGGTTGGGTTCATGGTCAGTTTCAATTCAGAAATTTGAACAATATACAGATTCACTTGAAAACTAAGCTTCCAGTCTTGATTATTCACCTTCTTTACAAGAATGCCTACAGATAAATTTGGGCTTTTTCCAAAAATAAAATGCAGCCTCAAATAATCGATAGTCATATTTTAGAGATATTGGAATAGCATGTAAAACAGAATCATAAGTCCTTCTTGTAACACACAATGAAGCATTTTTTTTTTAAGTACCAGAAAGCATCACCAGAAAGAACATAAAAACAACAAGTGAATGGCTGTGAGTATATGTCAGTGATTGCACTGTGAGCAGCAACAGGCTGGAAAGTTTCCTGGAGAAGGTAGGAGGAGAGTGAGGCCTTGGGTGACAGATGAATATGTACATAACATTACAGAGTAAAATAATATCCTTTACACCTAGAAAAAATCCTGTCTTTTAAACTCCCCAGTTGTACTGATGAGAAAACTTGAGAGTCAAAGATACGTTACGACTTTCTCAAAAACATCCAACTAGTTAGCAGAGCAAGGATCAGATTTACTAAGACTTGGTTCAGGGCTCTTTTCATGATAGCAGGAATAAGACTTCTCTGTTCAATCAAACCCATAAGTGGTTTGGTGTATAAAATAGGATGGTTCTAGTTTACTGAATTGATAGGACTGACAGATTGTTTTAATGTTAAATTCAAATCTAGAAGTACATTCTGTCAACATCTCTACTTTTATTTTGTTTTCAGGTCTATTTGCAAATATGTCATATGTTTTTCAAACTAAAAAAAAAGCCCTCTTCATATTTTATTAATTTCTAGATAATTATGACTACACTCATAAAAATGTATAGAATGACTAACATTTAATACTATATTGCCGCTGTGGGGAATTTTCAGTTGTGTAGATGAGGTGCTGTCTTGAGTTACAGCTTGATTACCTTTAAGGGAAACAGAAAGAAAGGTTACATAAGGCCAAGTTTCTCTAGGAGGAAAGCATTTTTCTTCTAGCCATCAGCACACTTACAAAATTCACATCTTACTGCAGAAACAGAGTTGAAACTGTTAAAGCTGCTGTGATTACTATAAAGAGTCCCAAATATTGAACTAGATGGAGTCTATCCCAGGAAAAATAATCTTCTCAGCCTGTGTTATGAAGGGGTTAATTATGAGACCTGAGATACGGTGTTCGCACATCTAGGCACTTCATCAAGCCATGGAGTCAGGAAACAAGGAAGAATAGATGAAGGTGCTGGGGATAATAATCATGGCAAGTAATGATTTCCCTAGAGGTGAACTGATCTATGGCCACAAGCAAAGAAAAAAAGGCTAGAAAGTACCATAACATTACCTTGGAGTACTTAACAGACTCAAAAGCAGTAACCCTGTGTCAAAAAAGGCCCATCATCCTGCTCATTTTAGGTAAAAGAGTTATGCCAAAGTACAAGAGGGGAATGCAAAATTCACATATGAAATTAAACAGCTGAAAGGTATGATTTAACAATGCTCAAAACTCAATAAGCCAAAGATAAACAGCAAATTAGATGACTCAATGTCAGGAGGAAAAAAACATCTTCCATCGATCCCATCGTCAAAAATTAATCTGCCTGAGAATGCCCTCTGCTCCAATCCCCGAGCTGATGAAGAGTGGAGGAATAGAGTAAAACCTATGTACCAGCGCTTCACCTTCAGGCTAGACCCTGATTACAATCTCCTGTGAGACATTTCAGCATGAAGCGCCTCTCATGTTGGGACTGCAAAATTAAATTGCGATCAATACTTTACAAAAATAATTGGGGAAAAATGTTCAGAAGTCAGAGCTGCACTGTGTGGCCACAAACATATGAAAGTTATTTTTTTTTTCCTACCTTTCTGGGGGTTATTCTTCAGGATAGATCAGTTCAAAGGTGTCTCTTGACAATAGTGTTCTTGGAATGGTTTTCGCTCACCTTGTTAGGGAATTTTAAAAGCAGAGCAGCATTTACAGCCTACCAAGAGTGTTATCTTATTGCTGCATTTTCAGTTTTCTTTCTTTGGAGTGCTAATCTCAGCTCATAAATTCTTCCTCTCTCTTCTCACTTTGATGTTAATTTAAATTTCTTTGCAAGTTAATTCTCATCGTCAAAGGGAAAAGACAAAAAAAAAAAAAAAAAGAAGTTGTATTGCAACGAAATGAGAGAAAAACCACATACACACAAAAGCTTTGGTAGATTTTTGAAAACTTTGCCTAAGATTGGATTCTGAATCTCTCAATACATTTCAATGCTGAACTCTGTAGTTAAATTTAGGGTAAAATATATTGAATTAAACTCTTTACTGCCTTAAGCAATGCTTAGTATTCAGCTTTTCTTGCTTGTCTGCCTCTAAATAAGGCCTTATTTTTGGCAAAGATTTACTTTTTAATCCATAACATGAGGAGGAAGTGGAAAATGTAAATGCCTATGTGAAATTCTTGCTTTTTCAATAAATGGTCATTTTTGGTTTTGTTATGTAGAAAGTTCAAAACATTGTACTTTTATAATTGCATTTTTGGAAAGGGCAAAGGTCTTTCTGGATTTTTATTCATGGTATGGCTATTCTGACAAGACAGTCTACTGATTTTTCTCACATGAATCATTTCTTAGAACCTCAGTCACTCATACAGGCAAAAATAAAGCAACTGCATTAAGAATACATGATCAGAACCATACTGAAGAAGGTGGCCCATAACTAGCTAAAGGGGAGTACCCAGAGAGCGGTAATCAATTGCCTGCTGTCATCCTGGGGGAGGAGGATGTATTGGGTGGTGTACTATAGGGCATCATGACTGGATGAAGGAATTGAATGTGTGCTTATTAAGTGCAAAACTGACAACACTCGCTGGATTGCAAACACCTGAAAAGACCTGAATACCATTTAAAGTGACCTTCACCAAGGAAATGACAGCCTCCTTAAGAAGAGGGGGTAAGGAAGAAGTTTTATTGGGCACCCCAAATGAAACAGGCATCTTACAACTCATGATTTAATTATGATAAATTTCAAATTCCAAATGGTTTCGTTCCAACACTCTAAATGCTCTTAAACAACCTTTCCACAGTGCTATTTGGATCAGAAGATAGAATGCAAATTTATTTTAAGAGTTGCTGGAGGTGAACATAATAGAGATGAGGGAGAAGAGAAGGCAGAGGATAGGGAGGGGGAAGAGAGAGAGACATGGACACTTCTCAGGGAAAACCCGCGGCCCAGCCTCCCTATTGTTTCCCACACCACGTACCACACACTCACACATCTTCCCCATTCTCACTCTGGAACACGCTTCACAGTCATAGCTGCCTCCCAACACTGACTCAGTCTTCAGGTCTCAGTCCACACATCTACTCTTCTTGAAAAACTGCCCTGAGTCTCCCCTGAACTCCATCATTAGGCTGCCTCACCCTGTGCATACAGTTATTATAACATTTATTACATTAAAATGAATCTTCCCTTCCTGATTAGATTGTGATATTTCTGATAGAATAGTCTGTCTCTTAGTCTTTTTTGTACACTCAGACTTTTGGATACAAATAAAACAATTTATTTATAACATTCTTTCACCAATTTAGTTTTCCAACTTTTAATTGCTCATGTGTCACATGGGACTTATCTGTTTGAGATCTGGTTTCCTTATTTCTAAAGTGAAAGGGTAATATTCAATGAAGTGTTTATTTTAGGTCTAAAACGTCTGGGTCAAAAATTTCAGGCAATGAAGATGATTAACCATTTTGCCAAAAAGCCAATCCAATGCCCACCCCAGCCACAACTGGTTCTAAATGGCATGAAATAGAACTCTTTCTTTTATTGTTGTTTATTTGCTTATTAAATGGCACTACCTTACTCTTGGCTCCAGCAATGGTTCCTCACGAGAGGCAACATGTATCTGATTGTACCACATGAAACTGATGTTGATTTCAAGTGGGTCAAACTAATATCTGGCTACCTAGAGAATGATGCCATGGTTTGATCATAAAACTTGAATAAGACCAATATGAGACCCTCTTCAGAACTAAGTACTGAAACAAACCAAGAACCAGGCAATTAGTAGAATGTAGAAGCGGAACATATGAGATATGAAGCAGAGGATGGGTCATAATGAGGAAGGACGAGTTATGGAGACATAGAGTTATAGTCAGTTGAAACTGTAAAAAAAAAAATAGTCTATTTGTTACCAAAAAGTGTGAAGTAATAAAAAGACATACACAATATATAGAGAGACTAAGCAAGTAGTAAAAGGAGAAGAAAATATCTGCTTGGAGAGCAACTGGACAATGTGAATGTTGGAGTCCTCTAGTGCATATACTTGAATGCCAGCTACTACGGTTCCCACTGCTATCCTGGAGCCACTGCCAGTTCACATGATACTCAACAATGGTATGAGTTTCATACTTTTCTTCTCTCAAGATAGCCATCTTTCCATGACCCATAACTTGATATTCCCAGAAGTAGTTTCTAGAGCTTGCAGCCAGATAAAAAATAAAATATGAAAATACAACACCAACATAGGATGTGACATCTTCATAAAAATGGCAGTTACAACTCAATAAGTGTCTATGACATGCCAAGTATTTTATGCATAATATTTACATGCTTTGTAGCCACTCTGGAAAATATTATTAGTGCCACTTTACAGATGAGAAGTCTGGGACTCAAGTGTTGGAAGGGCTTGTCTATGGACACAAGTCTAGTAAGCAATAAAGCGGAATGCAAACCCAGCTCTATTGGTTCCAGAGCCTGAGCTCTTTCCACTATGGCACACTGTTTTCTCAATCCCTGAAACACGGAGTGACACTAGAATTAGAAAAGTTTACCTTGAATCACATTGTATAAATCATATACAACTTATCTACCCAATTAGAAGCATATGAAAGAATTCCCTATTTAGTTCTGCTTCTGATATTATCAGTGTAGCTGATAATGTCTTCAGGCCTCCAAGTAGGAAATACATCTTCTGTAATGCTAAATGTCTATTTGCTTTGGGCTAAGGTTCTGGAGAGGAGCACAACCTAAACCACTTAGATTTGTTCTAAAAATCAGGGTCTTTCTGTGAGCCCCATGGGAATGCTACCATCTGACCAAAACAAAACCAGTAAGTGTTCTCTAATATGGGAAGCTTAAGCTGATCAGATAATGGCCAGAGTAAAAATCTGCTATGTTCATTTAAGGGACACTGATTGAACTTTCTATATGTTTCAGATAGTCTCCTGTTTGCTAAGAATATAGCAAAGGGTGTAACACGCAAGGTTCTACTGTCACAGAATAAATATTTTAGTGAGGAAAACATTTTTTTTTAAAGAGGGAGCAAATAAGTGCAATCATTTTGACTACTGTTAGCTATAATAAATAAAACTCTTCAAAAATAAATGAAATAAAATGAAGTAGAGATAGGAGAACTATACTGGATAGGATTGTCGCAGAAGCCTTCTATCATTATTTTTAATTAAGGCCTGAATGCTGAACAGGAATAAGCCACATACATATCAGGAAAAGAAATTTCCAGGCAAAGAGAAGAGTGAGTGGAGAGACTCGAAGACAGAGACAACCTTGATAAGTTAGCAGCACAGGAAGAGAGGAAGTGTGGCTTGAGTGATGTCACTGAAGAGCAGAGTTGGAGAAGATGAGGTAGCAGTGAATAAGGCCATGTCAGGAGTTGGGATTTTACTCTGAGGGCAAATGTGTCAATATTTTTTAAAAATTGAGCATAAGAATGACCTGAAGGCACATGGACGCATTGTGGTCACCATTGGAAGACTGTCTGTATTTACGGACATTCTTCCAGGTTGAACACCTCAGTGTGACCACCATCACTTTGGTGAATGTATCACTGCCTAGTATCTGGTCCTTGGGTTTGAAGAACATTTGATTGTTTGATCACATCAAATGACAATGCATCTCTTTAAGGCTAAACATATGTTAATCAAGGGCTTAGGGATCTATATATTAATATAACTAGAATATCCATATACAAATCTCCAATAAGAAATTATCAGAATCCAAAACCCTCAAAGTCCACTTGCTACCACCACGGGCAATTATCACTACTTTGTTAATGAATCTGGAATAGCAGAAGACCATTGGCTAAAACTCTCTTCCCTGTGAACAGTGCTTAGATGAGCACGAGCCAAGCTGGCTCGCAACACTCTGTCATGGCCATTGTTCCATGATTAGCTTACCTGCTGTCTTGGTTCATTTTGTGCTACTATAATGAAATATTACTGATACCTGCTGTCTCTGTTTTGTGCTGCTATAGTAAAATAGCACAGACTGGGTAATTTACAAACAATAAAATTTTATTTGGCTCACGATTTTGGAGGCTGGCAAGTCCAAGATCAGATCCTCATCTACTAAGGGCCTTCCTGCTGTGTCAAAACGTGGCAGGAGGAAACACATGGCAAAGGAAAGAACAAGAGGAAGCCAAACTTACTTTTATAACAAATTCACTCCTATGGTAACAGCATTATTCTATTCATAAGGGGAGAGGCCTTATGACTTAATCACCTTTTAAAGGTTTCACCTCTTGACACTATTGCATTGGGAGTTAAGTTTTCAACACATGAACTTGGAAGGACACATTAAAATCATAGCAACTGCCTTCTAAGAGAGTCTTTCATTAGATCTCATATATTCAATCAGATGATTGTGAAGTTTGCTGGCCTGGGAGCCATTCCACTTCCTTCCAATGACTTTGCATATCTCTTCTCAGGTTACATATTGATTTTTTTAATGTAACTCCAATTTCATTCATGTCTAGATTCTTGGGGGTTCAGCTTCCTGTAGCCACCGAAAACTGTCAGCAGCTGGAATAAGAAAAATGTAGAGCTAAATCAAATAATGTATTAAGTGAGTGTTGACATTCCTGACTATCAGAGACCAGGCACACTCACTAATTGTAAGTTAAGTCATCTCTGAAAGTATTTGACAGATTGACTTCCTTCCTTCCTGTGGTGTCTATTTCTCTCAGACTTTGATTGTCTTAGTCCTGCCCCAACTATTTTGTTATGTGGACTACAGTCAGTGGGTTTGCCATAACCCATCCTAGACCCGCAAGTACATATTAGCTCAGGGAAGTCATTTCTGATGGATATTCTTCCTTTAAAAAAAGCAGTGCCCTCATTCTGATCTTTTATCACCTAGAAGCTCCTGAGAGGCTCATTGCCTTCTTCATATTCTAAATATATTCTGACCTCAAGACTCAAGATGTGGACCCACAGAATTTCAGACTGGGAACCACCCTATAAATTGTACAGCTGATCTCCCCAACTTTCAGATGTAGAATAGAAAGTCTGAAAGACTGAGCAACTTGCCCTATTTTGAGACCTAATTCATGGCCACAGAGAGCTAATATCCAGGTCTTCTGATGCCCAGTTGAATTTCCGTTCCATAAAATCTTGCCAACGTTACCTGTTCTCTCAGGTCCTTGCCAGGTGACTGCATAAACAACATATTTGACAAAATCAATGTTGGGGCTGTTGGGCTAATAATGACTAGATATTACTTTCCTTAGATAACCTACTGGAAAGACTAATTCAGAAAACACGGTGAGTTAAAGTGACAATAGCTTGAGGCAGGATGTACCAGACATGTCAGACTCTTTTGTGTGAAGTGCCCTGACCTACAGCTCACGTTAAAGAGGTGGCACAATACAGACCTCATAAACCAGAACTGACTGAGTCAGCATGGGCATACAACCCAAGTCTGGTTAGGAACCGATGCTAAGACCTGACATTAAAAAATGAGTAAATAAAATTCTCTTTCTTTGCAGGGCGTGGGGCGGGGGAGGGGGTGCGGTTTACAGTAATTTTATTGTAACAGAGAAAGCAGGCTGCAATAAGTCTACATAATTAGAGCAGATGGTGGTTCTTTCCAATGGGTGAAGCCTGAGCCCAGCTGGTAGCACACAAAGCCTAGAATATCCTCTTTCTTGGTACTTGCTTGTGTGCCTGACTCATGATGTGAGATGAGCGAACGCACAACCACATTCAACAAAGGGAGGAGGTCCAACTGGGCAGAGATGACATCCCAACAGGAGAAAATTACACAATCATTGAAGAGGATGCTGAGATAAAGTGCGGTTACCTACTCTCCATTATTCTTTGCCAAGGAGGGTGAGGGTATGGGATCAGCAGAAAGTTATGTTCTTCTTTTTTTTTTTTGAAATAGAGTTTCACTCTTATTGCCCAGGGTGGTGTGCAATAGCATAATCTGGGCTCACTGCACCCTATGCCTCCCCAGTTCAAGCGATTCTCCTGCCTCAGCCTCCCGAGTAGCTGGGATTATACGCTCCCGCTACTATGCCTGGCTAATTTTTAGTAGAGACAGGGCTTCACCATGTTAGCCAGGCTAGTCTCAAACTTCTACCTCAAGTGACCCGCCCAAAGTGCTGGGATTACAGTCAAGAGCCACTGCGCTCAGCCTCTTTATTCTTAAATAAATCCCTATAGGATAGGGTTGTTGGTCAACCACACAGTAGAATGGGATAAAAATTTACAATGGTTAAAACGCTTTGTGCGTAAGGAAAAGAACAGCAATGACAAAGAAGAAAAGGGAGGCTTTTGGTTTTCTTAAATAAGGCAGGAATCTGCATGTTTTCCTTGCTGTAGTGGCAGCAGACTCATTGGTTTTCATAAACATAAATTTCTGCAATATGGTCTGTTGATAAGGCTGCTCCATGATGGGAGGACGGACATGAAGCCAAATGTTCAGGACACAACTAGGTCTTCTCTTAAACCCTCTAATGTGTGCTATTTCTCAAGAGGAACCAACACTGTATGACATATCAGTTGAAGTTTCTGAAATATTGCAATAGCATAATGGACAGGTTTCATGGTGTGATGACTTTCTTGCACATGTAAACTCTTGGAGAAAAGTTGGATTAAAAGGACAGGGGAGAGTTTGGTTTAGAGCCACAACGTTCCAGGCGCCAGCCACAGATGCCTCTGCCCTATGTCACTACATGTCCTTTTCTGAGAAACATTCAGTCGCTGAGTGTTACACACTGTAGTTGAAGGAAATAACCCACTCACCACCATCCACCCTCTTTCTTCCTGTGTGAAGCTCCCAATAGCAGAGGCTGAAGACAGAAAGGTTGTCTCTGTTTTCTTGCACCAGGGTCATTACTTGGTGACCTGGTGAACGGCATGGACAAGGTAGCCCACGTTGCTGGAGGTGACTCCCGCCACAGACATGCGGCCGTCCTTTATCACGTAGATGCAGGACTCCTCGGTCAGCCGCTCCACCTGCACAGGCTTTAGCCCTGTGAAACAAAACATGTCAATCTGGTCAGTGACGTCTGGCCAATTGTGGGTGGAACCCTCCTTCTTGAGGCTGGAGGCCAGCTGAGTCCGCATGCTAATGATGCGGTCGGCCTTGCAGTTAACTTCTTGCAACCATTGTTTTCGCAAATCTGGAGTGTTCAGAATGGTAGAAACAAACGGGTCCCATTGAGGGGAGGGTTGGAATACATGGGAGGATCAAGATCTTCAACTGTGACTCTATCCTCGTGGCTTCATCTGCGTCTTTGCAAACCGTAGTGAAGCTTGCCACACCCTCACTGTATAAGCCCATGTTCTTGGAGTGTGATTGGCAGAGACAAACGTTAATGCCCTCCTGTTCGATGAAGTGGCGCACAGCCCAGGCATCCTTGTAACCATCGCCAGTGGCAAAGCCTTGGTGGGCCATGTCGAAGAGCGCAAAGAGATTCTTTTTCTTCACCACTGTTGCTATTTCCTTCCACTGCTTGGGACCAGGGTCCGTGCCCGTGGGATTATGGGTGCAGGTATGCAGAAGAAGAAGACTTTGCTCTGGTGTTTTTGAAACGTCCTCCACAGCGCCTGTGAAGTGAAAACCGCAAGTCTTGGAGTCATAACACCGATAACCTTGTCGCCACATGCCAGTATCCCCGAAGATGGCTGTGTGATGTCCCCAGGCCGGTTTGGGCAGAAAGACATCTCGGCTGAACTTAAGAAATCTTCGGCCGGGCGCGGTGGCTCACGCCTGTAATCCCAGCATTTTGGGAGGCCGAGGCGGGCGGATCACAAGGTCAGGAGATCGAGACCACGGTGAAACCCCGTTTCTACTAAAAATACAAAAAAAAAAATTAGCCGGGCGCGGTGGCGGGCGCCTGTAGTCCCAGCTACTCAGGAGGCTGAGGCAGGAGAATGGCGAGAACCCGGGAGGCGGAGCTTGCAGTGAGCCGAGATTGCGCCACTGCACTCCAGCCTGGGCGACAGAGCGAGACTCTGTCTCAAAAAAAAAAAAAAAAAAAAAAAAAAAAAAAAAAAAAAGAAATCTTCGCAGAAAACTGGCAGTGGTCCTTAAGGCACCAGTTCCAGAAATGGTCTGCGCAGTGACAACCCGGCCACTTTTCAAGACTTAGCGGTTCTCGCCCAAGGCTACTTCTGCAGATGCCTTGCAAAATTCAGCCAGCGCCCCAATGCGGAAGCATTCCTTGTCCAAATTTTTGACCGCAATCTGGGCCTCTGCCTTGCGGACGCGAGGCAGCACGTAAGGCTTTCAGTTGTGGTCCCGGTAGACACTAACTGCCGGATTCATCTTTTTGCTATTGGTGTCCCTCTTAAAGGCTTCGGTGACTCGCAGAATCTGACCTGGTGGTCCCATCTCCACACGGGTCCACCAGGAGCTGGCTCTGGCAGGGGCCGCAGCGGCGAGCCCGGGTGGAAGGCAGCGGCGATCCCGGAGAGGACGCGCCTGAAGCGCAGAGGGGCCATGGTGGACCGTAGGAGGGCAGTGGGCAGCCGCAGGACGGAGCAGAGGGCAAGCATAAATTCTCTTTTTTAAGGAATTTATAATGGAAAATGTGGAGAGAAGCAGAGTGAGCAGGGAGAGCTGAAACAGGAAATAAGTTATGGGAGAATTCCAGAGAGTTCATGAAAAGCTGAAGTTATGAAGAAGCGGAAACTGAGTAAGATGAAGAAATCCAAGCTATTAGTAGGCAGTGGATTAAGTTTCATCTGTATATATACACATGAAAGAATGATTTATTTGATAATGATAACTAGAGAAGCAAATATGCAGAATTTTAATCTTTGTTTGTAGCCTGGGAGGAAAAACAGATTAGTTACCACTTACTCTGAGGTCCCTAGAGACGGTTGGGGATGTATCTAGTTACTAAACCCTATTCCCTTCTGAGTCCTGGCTGTCAGGCCACATGGCTGAATGGCTAACCCTTGATTCTCATGAGATTATCACAAGCGTATTATTTTAATGCGTCATTATATACATAACTCAGATGAATTTCTACTCACTTCTTGGAAAACAGCCTAATGAAAACATAGAGATACAACAACTCACTGCTATATGCAAATTGCCCTCATTGGCAAGTAATTGTTTTATTTATGTAATAGACTAGCCTTTTGAAAAAGCGCACTGATGATGGGCATGGTTTCTGGTTATCCCAGTCCATATTAAGGGATCTGACTTGAACAGATTTTATGTTTTGTCTGTGATGTCTATATAAAGATATGATATTTTCAGGTATTTATTTTTAGGGATGAAAAGAAATCATTGTAAAGTGAAAAATAATGTAACATGGTCAACATTTGTAATCATTTAAAATTATATTTGCAGTTGTTTTTACACCATTTTATTGATAATACATATCGAAATGAGTAAAAAATTCAATGGGAGTCAATGTCATTGGTACCAAATGAAAAAGAACATTACTACATTTTCTAACTTGGCAACATATCAGAATTGTGATTATCTAAAAGTTTTGTTATTCAATCAATGGGTGTTTTTATTTTAATTAAATACCTGTTGTTCTCCAGAGATGAGATTATCCTATGAAAACAGTATTTATTGGAATTTTTTTACTGCTACCAAGTACAAATCTCTTACAAATCTTTCCCGCCATCCATACCCACATCCTTCACCCTGTGGGCTCTCAGTGTATATGTCCGTGCATACCTTATGGCAGCAGGGGATAAATGCAGCCAGAGGAAAAAAGAGCTAGCAATCTAAAATTATAGTTGTTATTTTAGCTGCATGCTGATAAAGTTGTAGATTATTCTCTCTTTTTTAAAAAATAAACTTTGACCTGAAACTCAAGAAAATTCTTGAAATCCAACTAGCTCTAATTGTTTCTAAATAAAAATATAGACTGACATAAACACTGAATGGCTTCTGGGCAATGTATCGTTGCAGGTTAAATACATTTTGCCCTGAAGGCTGCAGTTCATAGTGTATAGATAACAAGAGAAATGAAATTGGTGATCTCAGCTAGTCCAGAGTGGATATTAGCATATATCACCAAACTGTCTCCAAATGTGACCCTATTTGCACTATCAGACTCTGTGTCCTCAGGAAATTGTTTCTAGTGAGAGAAGGGGGGAAAAAAGAAAAGAAGAGAGGGGCTGATACTGGTGGGAAGGGCATATTAATAAGACTGAAAAGGTAGAACATTTTCCTGATCTAATATTCTTTGCATTCTCTCCCTTCTTTAAGAACAAGGAAGAAGAAATAGCACCTCTTTTCTTAGCCTAAAGGGAGCATAAAGAACAATGTCTTCTAGGAATTCTAGGACATTTCCATTTTTCTCTTTGGTGTTTTTATTATTTTGACTAGAGAGAAAAAAAACATTGCCAATATGACTTTTTTTAAGTTTAAGAATCAGCACTCACCAATTATTGCCAAATTTAGCTCCTTGAAAGCGAAAAAAGAAAAAATTCAGCATAGGTATCGAAGAGGAGACTAGACGGAGAAAGCTCTAATCCTTCAGGAGCCAAATGAATCTATGTTTCTGTACTATTAAGTATAGTAAAAAAGGCCAAAGTCATGGGCATTAGCCCCACAGGGGCCAGTTAGCTAGACTCAAATTCAAGGCCATGGAATATATATCTAACTTTGCTGCTGGCAGTTAATTATATCAATGACTATCAGGAGGAATAAAAAAAGTGTCTTCTCAGTGCCTACTTTAACATTGCCTAACACTTTCAGCTCGGCTGTGATAATTGCTAAAAAACTTAAAAAATGGAAACAATTTTAAAATCCTATTAACTTTTAATGTAAACTTATATCCATGAGATGCTATACAAACATGGCATTTGTAAAATACAACTAGGCCTATCTTTTGTAGATAGAATTTTAGTATTTATTTATTCAAAGCTAAGACAAAATAGTATAACTTTTGCCTCACAGTTGCCTTTCCCTTCTAAATTATTCCATAGCCAAATATCAGTCATTAACTTTCCTGACTAAGTCATCCTTAGAACCAGGAAGAAGCACCCACAACTTACCTTTATCTTCAGCTCTAGTATAATTGTCATTGTTTGCATGTAGTAAGACATAAAATGAGTTTACAGTGTTAGAGAAAGGCTACGGTTTCAGGATTAAGCAAAGTTATCATCAACCATAACATGAGAAATTTATACCATTCACAGGAAAATGTTTAATGTAAATTTTTAAAATACAAATTCAAAATGGAAAACCAAGCTTTGCATACTGATAAGGTGATGGGTGGCAATACCAACTGTTGAATCAACTGAAATAAAGACAAACATGACTCAATATTACAATGTGTTAAGGCATAGCTTTCTGTTTCATCCATCACTATTTTTGTACAAATTTTAAAACAGTTTGCTAATTAGCAAATGCTGTCTTCATAACAGACTGTCAAAGTTTGTGAGGAAAAGGTATTTCTTTCCTCCTTTATTTTTTTCTCCTTTCATTTCTTCTTTCTCACCTTCCTTTCTTTGGTTCTCTCTCTTTCCCTTCTTCCTTTCCCTTCTTCCCCACCTCTTCCCTTTAATGTCTAAGTAAGGTCGTATCTTCTGTCATGCCTACAGACTAAAGCAGGAAATTCTGGAAGACTCAGGGAGCCACTGCCATCTGACAGAGTCTTCCCAACTGCACTACATACAAGTCAGCAAGAAGAAGCCAGGATTATCTGAGCTTCCTTTTAAGGTTTGTATGAGAAAATAATAACTAAAATTTACTAAGGACTTACTCTATGCCACCACTGTTTTAACTCTTTTACATAGAATACCCTATTTAATTCTTTTAAAATTTCATCTGGTATAGTTGGGGAGATCAAGGATCAAGAGAGCTACATTAGCTTGTCTGAAGTCTAGGTAGATAATAATTCGAGTCAGGATTAATTTCATTATACTATCTCCTTGTGACCAGGTTTGGGCACAAAGCTCTGAGTCACTCCTACAAAAATGCATCCACGCTGAGAAATCCAGAGAAAGGCTATATACTCTAGTGAAGTGATTTTCATCCTTGTTCCCCTACAGATTATTTCAGGCATGAGAAACCAACATAGTCGACACAACTAACTCCAGAAGACTACATGCTCCTATAAACAGATGTGTAATGACAGCACACTCAACATGGATAAATACACTTCAGAATTGGTTTGTAAGGTCCACCATCTGTCTGGTTTGTCCACTCTGAACTTATGAATCTTGATTACAATTGTCATTTGGGGTCCACCCAGTTTACACATCTATCTCAAACGATACCTGAAGGAGCTCTTTAGTCTTCTAGTTCCCTAGTTGTGCATGACTAAAGCTATAGTGTTTACTAAACTCTTCTTGAAGCTGAATGTCTAAGACTATGCAGTGGTTTCTTTTTAATGTTAAACACTATGAAAATCCAAGATTGATGGCAACATTGTGTGATAATAGTAGAAGAGATGTGCAAAAGATAGACGTAAAGGAAGAAGACAATATGGTAATCCACTGAAATTCTATTGCTTGTATATTCATAGCACTTCTTTCCTCCCCATGGAAGTGGGAAGCAGGGTCATAATAATTAACTATGTTATACTTCATTATTAACACTCTCTTAAGGCATTAAAAAAAACTGGCAATATTATGTTTTCCTTATTTTAAACAATTATGTTAAAGGGTTAATCAACATTTCCTGTGAAAAGAACAATGATGTTTAGCCAAATGCTTTTTAAAAAGCAGACAACAAGAAATAGCTTCAATAATTCATATTAATTCAAGTCCTATGGTTAATGAGGCAAATGGAGTGCTCTCAGAGGGGATAAAAGCACATAGCAGCAGCATCAAGAATCTTCAAACCACTGCTGGCAAAGGATACTGTAAGTCCAAAATACCCCCTAACCACCTACTATTCATACTTTACACTCGGGATAAACTTAATATCATTCTAGTTTTGCAGATGGTAAGCTAAAACAGTGCCTATACAATTAGAACACAGGCAAGCAACTGCTTATACTCTTCTTCGTTTTTATGGTTCTTAGCCATCATGATGCCATCCAAGTTGTCTGAAGTTTTCACTACATTAAACATACACTCATTTGATCAGGCACAAAAAAGAGTGAGACTGTGACCATCTCTGCACAGTCCAGCAATTAAACTGTTGTAAGGCTAAAAATATATCAGAGTTGAAGATCAGATCATGGACTGGATTACCAAATGGAATGATGAATAGTCAGTCCGAATTGTTTAGAAAGATGATTGATTCATCAGAGATAAACCTGGTAAGGTGTAAGTACATGTTCATTTTACTACCATTTATTAGGCAACAACTATAAACTGTCTGTACTGCACCAGGCACTAGAGATAGGATAAAGAATAAGACTTCCCCTGTGGGTTCTAAAATTCTCCTGGGGCTGACAGAGACCACTGCTATTCAGTTTGATTTCATGTAATAATGCAGGCTTCTCTGGGAACTCAGTACTCTGAGGAAAGTAACAAGAGTAAAGAAAGGGAATTCAGCTTTATAAAGAGGAGTTCTTTGTGAGCTGAGTTCTAATGAATGAGTGGGAAAGAAGGTGAAGTTGCACCTATTGCACCAATGATTCATTGATTCATTGATTCACCAGCGATGTACTAAACCTCTATTTAGTACCGAGCTCGTCATAGGGTTTTAGGAGTATAATGATAATCAAGGCATGGTTCCTGCCCTCAGGTTGCTTATAATCTGGTAAGCACTGAAACCCAGAGTACATAAAGAGATCCCCTCTTCCTCACTTCAGAAAAGAATACACACATGTGTGCACACACACATATGAAAAAGCATGCTGAATTAAAGGAAAGGTACATAATTTGATGTGGCTGGAGCAGAAGGCACATGAAAGAATGTGAATACCTAATCCCATCTCCTCTTCTTTCCTAGTGCTCATTCCTTGATATGGTTTGGCTCTGTGTGCCCACCCAAATATCATGTTGAATTGGAATCCCTAATGTTGGAGGAGGGGGCTAATGGGAGGTGATTGAATCATGGGAGCAGATTTCCTCCCTGTTGTTTGTGTGATAGTAAGTTAGCTCTCACGAGATCTGATCGTTTGAAAGTGTAGCACTTTCCCCTTCTCTCTCTCTCTCTCTCCTGCTCCCATGTAAAGATGTGCTTGCCTCCCCTTCACCTTCTGCCATAATTGTAAGGCCTCCCAGCTATGTTTCCTGTACAGCCTGCAGAACTGTGAATCCATTAAACCTCTTTTCTTCATAAATTACCCAGTCTCAGGTAGTTCTTTATAGCAGTGTGAGAACAAACTAATACATTCCTCCTCTTCATTCCCTACTGCTTCCTTCTGGTGTTAATTATTTTATATCTGAATCAGTGCAACCACATCCAAACTGGCTTTTTTTTCTCTCTCTTCAGCCTCACTAACTTCCAAAAATGCCATACAATTCTTACCTTAAAGTTCTCATTATTTTAGAATAAACTCCTCAGGAAGACATTCAAAGGCTTTGATGAACTTGCCCCTACTCATTTCACCCATTTCTCCTCCCCACCACACACACACTGCCCTTTTTTGTACCTAATGTTTTCTCTCTACCAAACACATTGGCCCAATGTTGTCTTCTTTCCCCAACCTCCAAGTTTTGCACCCTCTGCTTTCTGTATGTAGAATGTCCTTACCTTTTTCTGTATCTAGGGAATACATCTTCATCTTTGAAGACTCTCCTTTAGGAAGCCTCCATGCTCTCCCAGGCTGTGTAGATGCTCCCTCCTATGCACTCCCACAAATCCATGTGGTTACAGCAAGTACAGGAAAGTTTATGCTATATTATTTTCACTATTCTGTTGTCTGTGTCCTTTACTGGACCTAGAGCCCCCAGAAAATAAGGAATGAATTTTTTGTTGTTATTGTTACAGCGGCATCACTATCTTGTTTGTACCCTGTCTGACAAACAGTAACTGTTCAAAACATATTTGCTTAATTCATTCATTAATTGTTGATCCTAACGTTTAAAGTATTCTAGATAACATGCTAAAATTATATTCTCTATACCAGTGTTCAGTCAAGAAAAAGTAGTCTTGATTCCTTAAAGGGTCAAATAGGAAATATTTTAAACTTGCTCTCTGTTACAACTATTCAACCTTGCCATGGTACACAAAAGCAGCCATAGGTATACGCAGATGAATTGGCATGGCCCAGGGCCAGGAAAATTGTATTTACAAAAATAGATGGCCAGTATGAATGCTGTAGTGTGATGACCTCAGCTCTATACCATAGGTCACAATCTCACATCCCACAGGTTAGAGCTGCTCTACGAAGAAAATTTTCATTTTGGCTGTAGAGAGACAATTCTTTATGGGTCTCTCAGGTTTCTGTGTATCTTACAAGCGGAAGTACTGACTGCCTTTGTTTTTCCATACCGTCTTTACAGAGATGTTTGTGTAGCGAACAGACCTAGAAAATAGTGCCTCCTTCCAGAGTAGATGGCAGGCAAACTTACTGTCCATTATAAAATATTCAGGTCCCAAAGCTCAGGGTAATTCTCCTGTACTACAAACCACTGTGTGTATAGCTCTCGCTGTCTTTCGATCCCCTTCACATCCCTGTTGGAATCGGGTTCAGGGAATGAAGGCACATGTTGACAGTGGCTACTGTTATTACCATGAGTAATAAAGTTCTTTATCTTTCATGTCTTCTGCCAACACCCATGAAACTACAACAGGCTAAGTTTTTAGCTTGCAATTAGCATAAAATGTCAGATGCTTCAGAGTTCGACAGTTTTTCTTACATCGTACTTTAAATAATTTGAGCTAATCATTTAAAATTAAGAGATTTTACTCAAAAAAAATTAAATGTTACCTTCTCTCGAAAAACTAAAATATTTGGCAACGTTGGACATGCATTTTTATATGGCAACAAATGACAAGGACTGAGTGGGAGCTGCCTCTGGGATCCCCCACCTCTGGACTGTTTCCCGCCCAGTCATTGTTTCACTGATTTATATTCCTTGTCTGGCTTCTAAGGGCATTTGAGTTTGTGACCCTGCTTGAAGCAATAAGGTGTCAGCAAATGTATTTAGGCATGGAATTAGGTTAGATTTGTGCTTTAGAAAGATAGCTTCACAGAGTCATTGACAATATGAAGACGAATTACAGTGACAGAAATCTAGAATAAAATGTTGGAGTATAAAAAAACATGTGAAGAGGGCTCAACTAATATAACAGCAGGTAGAGTAGATAAATAGGAAATGATTCCATGAAATTGTCAGAACTTGGTGCCATATTGGTGTATCTTGGGAGAGAGAAGGACACTGAATTATGTAAGGGTTTTTAGTTTGGATGATCTGTTGGATAGTGATGCCAATAGTTGAAGTAAAATCGGGAGGAACTTGATGAAATTTTGGTGGAGTAAGAGAAGTTTACAGGGAGGGCTAAGAACCTGACAAGCTGAAGGAGCCTAAAGGATATTCAGCTAGACACGTTAATCGCAGTGCTGTCTAGCTCTGGAGCAGGCTGTCCATGGATTAACCTCAGGGAGTCCATATAGCTTGAGACCCAGAATATAAAACCTTATATGCTTATTGAATAGGCATTTTTTTTTTATTCCTCTGGAAAGTGTTGCTGCCTCTAATTAGACTTTCAAAGGGACCTGTGGTAACTCTGCAGAAAAAAGTTTGGAGTTTTAGATGTGAGAGTTATACACAAAATAGTTGAGATTGTCCTCTGCGATGTGTCCATAGTAAGAATATAAAGGAAGCAGACTAAGAAAAAGTCACAAGAAAAATAAATACAAAATAATTTGTTGAGACAGAAACAGAAGTTTCAAGAAAGAATGTTAAGACTTCAGAGAAATGCATACGATGCAGGCCTGGAAAGAAGCCATTAAATTTAGCGACTGGCAACCTATAGCAAGCATGGAAACCAGGCTTTGGTGGGATTTTTTTGTTTATTTTTTAAAAAGGAAGATTAGAAAGTAGAGGCAGCATAAGAAAGCTATTTTTATGGGTTGTCTGAGGATTAGGTTGAAAGGTTAAGTTTTAAACATGTTTGTGGGGATTATTTAGGGGATAAAAGAACTTGAATATATTTGTAATTAAAAGGGAGACAACTAAGGAGAAAGGTAATTGAAGATGTTCTAACAAGGACAAAGAATATTAATGTGTGAGTCCTCCAAGCATCTTTAAATTCCCCTACCTATTAAGGAAATTCTGACATTTTTACTTCTCCCCACCCCATGCCCCACATTCTAATCTCCCGGCTAGCTTTACCAGACATATTAGGGTATTGGGGGTTGGGGAAAAATCAGCTAAGAGATTGGGAGACTTGTATCAGAAAGGGTAGTTTACTGAAATGAGAACATAGAACAAATTAAAAGGAAACAGAAAACTAGAAAAGGAAAAAAGTCCCTCCTAAAGGCAACTTATATCAGAAAACTGAAAGTTTAGAGTAGGAAAAAGGGGTTTCAAAGCATCTAGGCATGGGAGAAAGTGGTAAAGCAAGAGAAATTACAGAAAATGGATATAAAGTGGTACTGTGAATTTTGAACAGGATCTCCTTTTGTGCTCTTCAAGAGCTGAAATTAAAGATTTGGGCGACACTTTACTAACATTGTTTGCTGGACTGTGTTTCTTTGAATATCACACAATATTTAGGCTGGGCCATGTGGGGTTGTAGTGTTTATTTGAGTTACAAAAAAGTGAGACGGTTATAGGTCAGAGCAATGCCAGAACCTCTCCAAATCCCAGGGCAGGACAGCAGCAGTGCTTAGACTGACAGTGACAAAGGGGAGGCAAGCCCCATAATTGCGGCTTAGTCCAGGAGGGCTTTTGGTTTCTCCCAGGAAAGAATTCAAGGGTGAGCCGGAAGTGTTAGACAGCACCTTTGATTGAAGCAGCAGTATAGAGCAGCTGCATACAGCAGCACCAGAGGTACTGCACCTTGCAGAGCAGGGCTACCCCATAGGCAGTGTGCCCAGAGTGGCAGCTCTGAGGCAGTTATGCAGTCATATTTACACTTTTAAATACATGCAAATTAAGGGGTAAATTATGCAGAAATATCTAGAAAAAGGGTGGTAACTTCCAGGTCGTTGGGTCATTGTCATGGAAAGGGGTGGTAACTTCCAGGTGTTGCCATGGCAATGATAAACTGACCTGGCACACCCTTGGACATGTCTTATGGAAAACTGCTACCACCCTATCCCTATTTCAACTATCCCTC